GGTGAGTGGGGTGATAACTTGGTGGGTTGATTATAGTGTGCTGATCTTTAAAGGTGCATTGAAAATGTTTGATACTCCTACTGATACTGCTGCTGTTATGGAGTGACTCATGCTGCCAGCTATGGCTGCAAAGTTTGGTCGTAAATGTTATGTATATCGTCTATTACAGTTCCTATGATCACTGGTACATTGTTTTTATAGCTTTATTTTGGTGATTTCGAAAACTTTTTGGTTTAGTCATACTTGTTTGTTGTAGGACAGAGTTAAACTGATAACTTTAATCTAAATTGTATTATGGTTGTTATTTTTTGACTTGCATCGCACTGGGATGTTTGCACACAGTGTTGATATACGGTGCTTTTTCTGGAAGACTTTGCTGTTTTTTCCTGAATTTTTCTGTTGCGCGTAGTCACTTTAAGATGTTCCTTGTTCATGTTTTTGTTTGTTGCGGTTGCACCCGAGTGAAGAGCCGCATGGCTCACAGGGCTATACCTAACAAATTAAACTGAAAACTGAGATGCTGGGTGAGTGGAGAGGTCAGTGTTTCGGTAGATGCTGAATGCGTGTGTGATTAGTTGGTGGGCAGATAATGAGTGCGTGGATAGTTAAGTAGTGCCTGGGTAGTTGAAGAGCAGTTGGGTCCGTGGGTGAGTAGGTGGAGGAGTCAGTATATGGATGGAGGCTTGAGTTTCTAGGTGAGGTGTGCATGAGTAAGTGAATGTGAGCAGAGTTGGCTTCGTAAAGTGCTAAATAAGTTAAACATCCTGCACATATTCTTGGTTCTTTCGGTAAAGTCACGTAGAAGGGAAAGAATAAAATAATTAAAATATAAAACAATAAAATTCTCACGACGTTTCGACTGCAACACCTGTTGATTGCTGATGATTGCTTGTGTTGCAGTCGAAACGTCGTGAGAATTGTATTTTATATTTTTATTATTTTATTGTTTCCCTTCTACGTTGTGACTTTACCGAAAGAACCAAGAATATGAACCCCTGCAGTCACGAAAGCTTTAAATCAAAATGTATCCTGTACATATATAAGTTCATGAATAACTTGAATGAGTGGGTGGGTGAATCGTTGCATGGGTGAGTATATGTATGTACGATTAACTAAGTAGGTGAAACTAAAAATTATATATTTAAAAAGCTATATATTTTTTTAATTTTACCAGATAAGGCCCACTGAGATTAAAGGTCGTTTTCGGAAGCGACATGGCCACAAATGAGAACTCAACGAAGTGGCTTTTCACGTGGGATTTTATAGCAGCCAAATACTCTAAACTCGCGTTTCTAAATGTGGAGGAAAAAAAATCAAAGTACCCGGAGATAAATCCACGCCACCACGGGAAGAAAATGAAAACTCCAAATATACAGCAGGCGTCAGAGTCGGGATCGATCCCACGACCATTCTGTATACCAGGCAAGGGAGTTAACAGCTTGCCACATGAGCATAGTGAGTGGTTGGATGTGTAAATGGATGAGTCTGCAAGTGGAGCGGGTAAATATATGATGAATAGGTGGATGTGTGCATCAGTTGAAATATGTGAGTACTGTACATGAATGTATGAGTGGGAGCCTGTGACTCAATGGTGGAAAAGGAATTAACTTCATGAATACATGTGATAAGAAAGTGTTATGAAATGAGTGTGGAAATGATGGTGTGAAGTGATATGAAACAAGCTGATTCGGTGTGGTTTAAGTGAGTGGAAATACCGAATGGTAGTGTTGTTGGTATTGAGTGAGTTCATTCTGAGTGGGTTAGAGAGTTGGGAGTACCGTATTGAGTGCAGGAGTTAGACAAATCTGGTGTAGCGATTTCCCAGCTACACATAAGATGTGTTGCCCTTCGCTCAATTATCAGGCTTTTCCTCCACCGCTTTGTTCTATTTCAATGACTTTGTGCAACTCTGGTGATGTATTCAATAAGGAAAGAACTTGCAATCCCCCCCCCCCCACCACGAGATAGCTTACAACTGTCTTCTTTGGTTCTTTCGGTAAAGTCACGTAGAATGAGAATAAAATAATAAATTGATAAAATAAAATAACACAATAATATTCTCACGACGTTTCGGCCACAACACAAGCGGCCTTCATCAGGTGAAGGGGGCGAGACTGTCTGGTAGGACAGCGCTGGAGTGAGAGAGCCACGTTCAGATCACGGCTTTTAAGCTGTGTGAGAGGAACAAAGAGCCTTAGAGTCGCGGCATCTCTTCAGAAAGGTGAGAGACTCGATTAGTTGAGCCTTCTTATCCCGAAGTCTGTTGAATGATCTTAAGGATGTGTGGAATCCCTCCCCGTAGAGGCGGTTAAATTTCGATTTAAAGCTTTCGTGACTGCAATGATTCATCTTCTTTGGTTCTTTCGGTAAAGTCACGTAGAATGAGAATAAAATAATAAATTGATAAAATAAAATAACACAATAATATTCTCACGACGTTTCGGCCACAACACAAGCGGCCTTCATCAGGTGAAGGGGGCGAGACTGTCTGGTAGGACAGCGCTGGAGTGAGAGAGCCACGTTCAGATCACGGCTTTTAAGCTGTGTGAGAGGAACAAAGAGCCTTAGAGTCGCGGCATCTCTTCAGAAAGGTGAGAGACTCGATTAGTTGAGCCTTCTTATCCCGAAGTCTGTTGAATGATCTTAAGGATGTGTGGAATCCCTCCCCGTAGAGGCGGTTAAATTTCGATTTAAAGCTTTCGTGACTGCAATGATTCATCTTCTTTGGTTCTTTCGGTAAAGTCACGTAGAATGAGAATAAAATAATAAATTGATAAAATAAAATAACACAATAATATTCTCACGACGTTTCGGCCACAACACAAGCGGCCTTCATCAGGTGAAGGGGGCGAGACTGTCTGGTAGGACAGCGCTGGAGTGAGAGAGCCACGTTCAGATCACGGCTTTTAAGCTGTGTGAGAGGAACAAAGAGCCTTAGAGTCGCGGCATCTCTTCAGAAAGGTGAGAGACTCGATTAGTTGAAGGCCGCTTGTGTTGTGGCCGAAACGTCGTGAGAATATTATTGTGTTATTTTATTTTATCAATTTATTATTTTATTCTCATTCTACGTGACTTTACTGAAAGAACCAAAGAAGATGAATCATTGCAGTCACGAAAGCTTTAAATCGAAATTTAACCGCCTCTACGGGGAGGGATTCCACACATCCTTAAGATCATTCAACAGACTTCGGGATAAGAAGGCTCAACTAATCGAGTCTCTCACCTTTCTGAAGAGATGCCGCGACTCTAAGGCTCTTTGTTCCTCTCACACAGCTTAAAAGCCGTGATCTGAACGTGGCTCTCTCACTCCAGCGCTGTCCTACCAGACAGTCTCGCCCCCTTCACCTGATGAAGGCCGCTTGTGTTGTGGCCGAAACGTCGTGAGAATATTATTGTGTTATTTTATTTTATCAATTTATTATTTTATTCTCATTCTACGTGACTTTACCGAAAGAACCAAAGAAGATGAATCATTGCAGTCACGAAAGCTTTAAATCGAAATTTAACCGCCTCTACGGGGAGGGATTCCACACATCCTTAAGATCATTCAACAGACTTCGGGATAAGAAGGCTCAACTAATCGAGTCTCTCACCTTTCTGAAGAGATGCCGCGACTCTAAGGCTCTTTGTTCCTCTCACACAGCTTAAAAGCCGTGATCTGAACGTGGCTCTCTCACTCCAGCGCTGTCCTACCAGACAGTCTCGCCCCCTTCACCTGATGAAGGCCGCTTGTGTTGTGGCCGAAACGTCGTGAGAATATTATTGTGTTATTTTATTTTATCAATTTATTATTTTATTCTCATTCTACGTGACTTTACCGAAAGAACCAAAGAAGATGAATCATTGCAGTCACGAAAGCTTTAAATCGAAGCTTACAACTGGCTCATCACGCTGCTCCTTCGCCAAGACCTTGCCGTGCCATCTTCCTTCTCAGCCCACCCCACCACGCCATGAGTTATATTGTAAAATAAAAGTGGACAATACCCCCCTAAAGTGCAAAATCTACTTTTTTTAAAAAAATTTGTATGATGCTTCGTAAGTGAATGAACCATGAGGTGTGTGAGTGAGCGAGCGGGTGAAGTGGATGCAATTGATTCAGTCAGTCTCGGGGTTGGGGAGAGGTGAGCGAGTTGGTCAATGGGTCAGGCCAGTGAGCAAGTGGTTGTGCGAGTGGGTGAGTGCGGCAGAGTGTCCGCACGTGTAGGGTCGCAGTAAATAATAAATGCCCTGTCGCTGCTCTGGCACGTCCTCACCTGTCGGCCACGTCTGTCCTATTGTTGTTGCTGCTGCTGCTCGAATAGAGTTACCACACTGTCCAGCTATTTTATGGTGCAGAATGACGTTGCCATGCTTATTGCTACTACTATTATTATTACTGCACTGAGTCTCGTGACTTTTTTTCCGCGAGGGTTCCTGTCTAGTTTTTACAGTGTGGGGGGGGGGGGGTAAATGATTGCTATGTATATTCCAATTGAGTAATTAGTTACGAGGGAGTGCAGAGTTTTCCACAAAACGTTGACGAGGACTGCGGTTCTGGCTGCACCACCACTGGGGCTGGATGTGGGAGATCGGCCTTTCTAAACCATCACAGGCCCATGTGGCGGCTTTCATCGAGCAGTAGACTATTCCATAATGCCCCACAGAATACTGTCCACAGCGAAAAATAAATCATGTATTACAGTTTGGCGTTTCTTGCTGTGTTCTAGATTTGAAGCTTTCGTGACTGCAAGGATCCATACTCTTTGGTTCTGTTCGGTAAAGTCACGTAAAAAACAACAAACTAAAAATAACAAAATCATGACGTTTCGGCCACAACACACCTGATGAAGGCCACTTGTGTTGTGGTCGAAACGTCGTGAATTTTTATTTAGTTTTTTTACGTGACTTTACCGAATAGAACCAAAGAGTATGTTTCTTGCTGTGGTTTGCTGTGTTTTTTTTTGTGTGCAGTGTTCCTGTCGTATTTGTTTAAAGGCGTGTGGGTACGTGTTTGTGTTTAGGTGTGTGATCTTCCGACGTAATGGACTCGGAAGTAAAGAAGGCGGCGGGTGCAGAGGCAGACGCTGTTGAGAGGGTGAGTCTGGAGAAGCAGCAAATTCAGAAGGACTTGCTCAAGTATAACATTCCATTGTTTAAATATCTAACAGCATTCCCATACCACTGAGGGGCCAGTAGCTGATCATTTCTGTTTGGGGCACTGGATGGAAATTGGCAGGTAACTGATTTAGTTATTTGTGAGTCAATTATACCGCTGGAAATGCTATGTCATGCTTCATTATAATGATTAACCATGGTCACTGGATGAAGGCCTCCCCCCCTATCCCACCCAGCTGCCACCATCTTATGATCCTGTGATGTAATAATCCACCTGGCACCTGCACACGAGATGGTTTCATCGCTCCATCTCCACGGTGGACGGGTCTCGGACCCGTTCCATTCCTTGGATACAACTCCTATAATTATTCTTGACCATCAGCCGTCATCCATTCCAGCGATGTGTCCTGCCTACTTAGTTTTTTATTTTTACAATTTGAATCTATTTCTCTTGTATACATTCTCTAATCCATGTGTTCCTCTTTCTGTCTCTCACTGTAATTATAAGCATTCACCTCTTTATGCTTGTTTGTGCTAATTTCAGTTTTTGTTCAATGTTTGCTGTGCATGACCATGTTTGTGAATTCTATGTTACAGTGGGTAGTAGGGCACTGATTAATAACTTTTTTTTCACATTGGTATGTAACTTGTTATTGTTCAGTTCAGCCAAAAGCACTCTAACCTGCTACTGTCCACCCCTTTATTTAATCACTTTGATTCCGGTACACCTTCAGCAGCTGTTCTAGATCTCAGGATAAATTTGGGCAAAACTAAAGATCATGTACAACATATTTTCTCATTAGTTTTAGTTAAACAATGTGTACAATAACGAATATAATAGGACTACGTCAAGGATTGACAAAAAGCATAAAATGTATCGCCAGATGCTTTCTGGGCTTGGCTGGCTCTGAACCAACGTTGCTGTTCACGAATGTTTTCTTGAAAACTGGGTTGTTGTTTGCCCGACTCGGTTCACAAACCAGACAACTAGGTTCAGCCAGGCATTACCACGGCAACTTACCGGGCCAGCCCGTCACAAAGCGGACCTGGGTGACAACACCAAGCAGACTGCTGAGCGTGGATTTCATTCCGCGCCTTGCGTTCTTACCGGGGCCACCCTCGGAACTAGTTGTGGTGGCAAGGGGTCAGTGCCATGCCTCGCTGTGTTACAACTTCAAACCCATGGCGGGAAATCAAGGATAGACGTTAGCTTCGGAATGCATGTATCAACTAAAGCCTGCTTTGAACGTTCGCTTGTTTAAATTGCTTGCCAACGGGTCGCTGAACAGTAGAGACGGGTGCGGCCCATCGAGCCGCGTGGCGGACGGGAGTGCGGGAGCTCATGCCAAGTTTATTTTTATTGTCAAGTCGAAAGCTATCTCTATATCTCTGTCGCTAGCTCTATAGCTAGCTAGCTTTATTAATTTATCGAGCTAGTTATGTCCCGAGAGTTATAGCGTTGCCAAGTCTTTTGTTCACGCTATCGCCATCTAATCGGGGTATGGCTAAGCCAGGCCACACGGGACTGTGCCAGACTTGTTAGGTGCTAACTGATAGGCGTGTGTGTGTTCGGAGCCTGCCCATGAATGGTGAATATTTGATTCCCTGCCCCCCCCCTAGCTCGATTTGGCCTTAACAGAGTACCTGGTGTCGTGTGTAAATATCGGCACAGGGGGGACTTAGGCAGCCGGGTGTGGTGTTGACCGCCCACCCCCTTTGTGTGCCGTTCCAGCCTTTGTAGTTGCTCGCCAATGTAACGTTCCCCAAAAGTTTTTTTTAAACAAGGTTACATGGTGGATCTTTGTCTTTGTAGGGAGGGAGTGCCCCCTACCGGCAGAGAAATGATGACTTCCGACGCATCTTTAAACAACTGCCGGAGAACGAGCACCTCGTCGTGGGTACGAGGCTCTGCTGTTACACTTACGTGCACACGCTCGTACAACCGTACTATCAATGCAATGCCACGAGCAGCAACGTCGGTGTGTGTGGGTGTGTGTGCATTCACAAAGGAGAGCAGTGGTGTAGCGGGTTGCACGCTGCACTACGAACCCAGTGACCCGAGTTCAATTACAGTTCACGGCCACTGCCAGTGACGATAATCTGAACCGGTTATGGGTCTCTGCTTGGTTGACTCAGCCTTCATTGAGTACCTGGTGTGGTATCTAAACATCACCACTGGGGAGACAAAGGCGGCCGGGCATGGTGTTGGCCACTCACCCGCTCGTGTGCCATGCCTGCCTTCATAGGTGCTCGCTAACAGCACTTTCCCCAACAGACTGATCAGGCTATACGGGGAATGTTTGTTTTTTGCATTTACACCAAAATGTGCATGAGCTTGCACACACCTGTAGGAATGGACGTTGCACCTAAACACAGACACTTCACGTGAATACACAAGCACGTGTGTGGCGGCAGCTGTACTGCACACCGACTTGAGTTGTAAACACTGCCGGTGGAGATGTGCCTATCACGCACGGTATGTGATGTACGTACTCTTGTATGGCGTGCAGGAGATCGTGTGCACTGCTGTGGTGAATGTATGTACTGCATACACTGTTGTGTGCTGTGTGTGCTCTGTCATTTTTACTGTGTGCACGTTTTGGGAGACACATGCTCTGTACGCTGTGCATTCTTTGTATCGTGTTGTTTGAACTCTGTCGCTGTCATATTAATTAATTCGGGGGTATTGTGTGTGTGTTGCCGCTTACAGACTGCGATGCTGCATGTGCACATGAGATTGCTTGCGTGTGGTTTGTGTGCTGCCCACGCTGTGCACAGCGTTCCTAGGGGTACTTGAGCTGTGTGCCGGGGGTACATGCGAGCGTGCTGCCCCCCCCCCCCCCACACTAATTGTGTTCATGTCGCTCTCTGCGCACATTTCCTAGACTACTCGTGTGCGCTGCAGAGAGACATACTTGTTCACGGACGTCTCTACCTCTCCGAAGGATGGCTCTGCTTCCACTCCAACATCTTTCGCTGGGAGACGCTGGTGCGTGTGATTGTCGAAGCGTTTTTTGTTCATGGTTGCTGAGCATAGGCCCAAAGGGCTAAAACGCCAAGCAGCCAGCACCAAACAGACAGCACTATTAACGTCATTATTGATTTTTGGGTTAGGCGAAATAAACTTGTACTTTGAAGAAGGGCCATTGCCTGAAAAGTAGCACATTTCTATATTTTCCCTTTGCAGGCCACTTTTATTGAGCGGTTTGAGTTCTTTTGTTTGTTAATTTTGTTTATGCACCAAAGCCAACGTGGTATCACCAGATCATTTGTTTACCGGAATGTTCTTCCTTCTGATATTAAGAAACCACTATAGCTATGCATTTTAAAATCTAAATTTAAAACTCACTTCTTTATAATTGCTTTTTGTGTTTAGTTTGTTGTCCTTCCCCCACACCTCCGATTAGGCCTGGGTCACCAAATTGACGACAAAAACTAAATCACAGCAATGAAGCAAACAGAAATCGGAACAAGTACTAAAAACTACCATGTGTGTGTGTGGGGAATGGTGGCGCAGTGGATAGCACACTCCACTACGGACCAGCGACCCGTGTCACCAGTGACGATTATCTGAACTGGTCCGGGGCCTGCCGTAGGCAAACTCGGCCTCAAATGAGTACCTGGTCCAATGTATAAACATTGGTATTCGGGAGGCAATGACGGCCGGATCGTGGTGCTGGCCACCCACCCCCTCGTGTGCCGTGTCGGCCTTCCTAGGCGCTCGCTAACAACACCTGGCCCAAAAGTCTATTAAGGCTATACGGGGGTGGGGGGGGGTCTTTGTCTTTGTGTGCGGTATTGGGGTGAATGTTGTGGTGCGCTGTGTATTGCAGTTGACAATTCAGATGAAGGAGATTACTGCGGTAACGAAGGAAAGGACAGCGAGGGTCATTCCCAATGCCATTCAGGTGTGCACGCAGAATGAAAAGGTGAGCATTATTCCCACCAGCCTGTAGCATTACACATCACTAAACCCTCCTGTGAGTACTACGTCACAGCCCCACTTCACTACACCACGTCACAGTAGTCGCGCTTGCGATGCATTCTACTGTAACGTATCACTCCACAATACTGCCCATCACACCTAATATCATCACAACAACAGCTATTTACAACCCTTTGACAATCTATTGCTGAATTAAGGGTTGTCCCCAATCGTGGGGGTTGTTCGACCATTCTTCTCCATACTGGTCATTGCGGGTTGGTGAAGGGTGAGGGGGGGGGCCTTCACCATCCTGGCCAACACCAGGGCTCGTGGATTCAGAGCTGCTGAGGTCCTGTGGTGGGGGGTGGCGCATTTTAGGTGCGTTGACTGTGGGGTTGTTTCATCACGGTTCACCATCCGAGTCACTGCAGGTTAGTGAAGATTCCTACACAATGGGAATGCAGCACGCAGGCAAACTGGGATGCCAGCCAGTATTAAGGTGTATGTATATAGTATCACGTTACTTGCAAATATTATACTTATGTTACATGCAAGCTAAATGAGTGGAAAAACAACGATATTAAATAAACAATATTTGAGAAACAATATAAACTGGATAGTTAAAATTCTAAACATAAATGTTTGAATTTTCTGGTTCACTGAGCATTGGGTAAGCTGGTACATGCCTGTACACAACCTGACTACACACCAAAAAAAAGCACATGGCACTATGCATAGCCGTACACTCCTACAAAAAGTGTTGTGTGCGGGTGAGCGGTGGCGATGTCAACACTGCATCTGTACCAAGCGAGGTGCACGTTCGTACTATGGTTGGTGAAAGTGATGTGCGCAATGCGTCTTGTTGCTGTGTGCGGTTCGGGACACATGTGGTGTGGTGCGATGTTCGTGTGACTGCGGGTGCAGTATTTCTTCTCGTCGTTGGGTGCAAGGGACAGAGCATTCCTCATGATCTTCCGGCTCTGGCAGAACTCCTTGCTTGACAAGGTAACGCATGGCACGCTGTGCACCATCTACTTCATTTCTCGCATACACCTCACGACTAAAGCACTGCTTCTCTTGCAACATGCATCACACTTCCTGTTATATAGACTTGTTTATTCACACATCACTGTATAGAATGTTTACAACACCATTAGGTAAGTAATTTCACCGCGAGCATTGTATGTATGTATGTATGTTGAACTTCTTTAGCATCGTACATAGCCAACCGTGATAATCGGAGGTGCGAGGGGAATGGACAACAAACTAAACACAAAAAGCGGCATTATAATGATAATAATAATAAACCATGATCTGTCCACTATCGCATGACAGCCTCTCCAAGACATTGCCGCCTCTCACAGTCTTGCATAGAAACAATCCCAGCTAGTCCCAGCACACGAGCTGAATTCATCATTCTGTCGCTCTATCAATCCGCGGTTGACATCCCCGTGGGTGTGTTCTCTATTTTGGCTGCCATTCTTTCGTTAGTCTCGACCACTTACCGCTTAATTCTGTAGTGATCGATTAACATGCTGTGCAGTAATGGCAAGATATAGCAGCATCATCAGCATTATCCATAATCTGTTGACCTTGAAGCGATAGATGGCAGCCTTGGTGTAAGTTTGGGGAAATGTAAATGTCACATTGGTGTGTTTCGTATCATCATCAGCCAATGTCTATCCACTGCTGTATGAAGTACATTGTGTTGTGTGGAGGTGTCGTGCAGCGCAGTCAAATGTTGTGTTGGGGTGCGCATGCCATGCGGCTGGGCATCACAAGGTCAACCTGCCTTGTGGTTATGCTTTGTAGATGTGCAAGCTGTGTGGGTAGGCTTTTGATGTATCTTTGTGTTGTGTAGCCGTGTGTAATGAAGTGTGCAAATGTTCGCGTAATCGTTGTGCATGACTTGGTGTGTCTGAGTGTACACACGAGTGTAGTTGTAAGGGCCCCCATTATGCCTGTGCAGATTGCGAGGGTTATATGACCACACTTCACCGTGCTGGTCAGTGTAAGTTAGTGAGCGTGGGGAGCATATATGTGGAAGCATATCAGTACAATACAACAATGGATGTTGCTGTACTGCTCTACTGACCAGGACGTAGGCAGGTGGCAACCGGGGCTTGATGTAATGTGCATACAACTCTGCCGTTGGTGGTGTGGAATGTACTGTGCAAATGTTCATACTGTAAAAGCTTCTTTGGAAATCTGTATTGTTTAGTTACTTAATTTATTGTGTAATTTTGACTATTCTATGGTTATTCTTAGTTTTTTCGGTAAAGTCACGTTGAAGAGAAACAACAAAATAACAAAATATATATAAAACAATAAAAAATTCTCACGACGTTTCGACCATAACTCAAACGGTCATCATCAGGTGTGTCGGTTTGCATAAATTTATTTTGAAAACGGCATATTTATTTATATATATATAAATAACGTTTGCGTCACGCGCAACGATGGCAGTTTGCCAGGACTAGTCCATCTATTTTTTGAAAGGAGGAGGGGGGAGACGAAATTTGTTTTTATGTATGCTGTCTGAAAGGCACTGTAAGCGTGAACAATCAATCAAGAACTGAAATGATTTATCAAATCTTTCCAATGATTGCTAAGATAGAATCCATCTTCTCGGTTGAAATTGTCTCTGTGTTTGTATATGTGGATAGCCTCATGAACGAATCTCTCATGGAAGCCAGATGGCTTACAAAGAACCTCCGTCTTGGAAAAGTCAATGGCATGTGAGCCTACTGAATTAGAACAATGATCTGCTACGGCCGAGGTGTTGGTCCTACCGTGTTTAAGGTCTGCTTTATGTTCACGAATGCGGTCCGAGATATGGCGTTTGGTTTCTCCAATGTAACTACTACCACAGAGGCAACTTAGTTTGTAGACACCAGGGTATTGTATGTCCGGAATCACATCTTTTACAGACGGAACCAGATCACGGATTTTATGTAATGTGTTGAAACGGACCTGGATCTTGTGTTTATTCAAGATTTTGGAGATCTTTTTTGTGATCCCAGCAATGTAGGGTAAAGTGATGGTTTTGAAAGGCTCCTCAAGAGGGTTCTTCTTCATGGTTTGAGTGATAGCTTTGCGGATTGTATAGTCGGAGTAACCATTAGCCCTAAGAGCTTGGTGTACGTGCTTGAGTTCACTGCTTATGTGTTCCTGGTCGGATATGCATTGGGCTCTATGATACAGAGTCTTGATGAGAGAATTCTTCTGTGATGGATGGTGGTGGGAATCCGGTTTCAGATAAGCATCCGTATGGGTAGCTTTCCTGTAGACAGAGTGGCTCATTGAACCATCAGGTCTCTTTTTAATTAGGACATCCAAAAAAGGTATCATGCCATCTATTTCGACTTCCATGGTAAATCTGATGGCTGGGTGTATGGAATTGATGTGGTCGAAGAATTGGTCTAGAGCAGGCCGGCCATGTGGCCAGATGACAAAAGTGTCATCCACGTACCTCTTCCATAAGGTTGGGCGCAGAGTGGCAGTCTGGATGGCGTCAGTCTCAAATTTCTCCATGAAAATGTTAGCTATAACTGGAGAAAGGGGGGAGCCCATTGGGGTGCCCTCAGTTTGTTTGTAGAAAGTTCCATTCCAAGTGAAGTATGTATTGGTTAAACAGTGTCTCACCAGGGGGGGTACCTCAGTGTTTAGTCCTTGATGAACCAAGTCTTCAATGATTGCAATGGTGTCAGGTACAGGAACCTTGGTGAATAAGGAAACTACATCAAAACTGACAAGCAGGTCGTCTGGGGACAGGGAAATACCCTTGATTGTTGATACCAGGTGAGTAGAATTTTGTACCGCAGAGGTGGTCTTTCCAGTGAAAGGACGCAGGATTTCAGACAAAAAACGAGCTAGTTTGTAGGTGGGGGAGCTGATAGTAGAGACTATGGGACGAAGAGGTGTATCAACTTTATGTATTTTTGGTAAGCCGTATAATCTTGGTGGCCTGGCAGCAGAAGGTTTCAACGAAAACTGTTTAGATTGATCAATTAATGCGGTTGAATCAGAAATTATTTTGTTGGTTTGTGTGACGAGGCTGTTGGTGGGATCTCTTTTTATTTTTGTATAGCTACCATCGTCGAGTAATTCTTTAATTTTGTTGTTGTATTCTATTTTATCCATGATAACAGTAGCATTGCCTTTGTCAGCTGAGAGAACTACAATATCATTCCTCTTTTTTAATTTATATAATTCAAAACGCTCATCTTTGCTGAGGTTGCTAGCTGGCATCTTAGCGTTTTTGAGGGTTGCAGCGATTTCAGATCTTGCTACGTCTGCAGCGATGTGACCCAGGCCCCTGAGAGCAACGTCTACTTGGGCAATTATATCATTAACTGGTATGTGTTTAGGTGTGACTGCAAAGTTTAGACCTTTAGCTAAAACGGATTTCAGACCATCGGAAATAGAACTGTTACTGCGATTAATTACGACTTTATTAACGTCTAACTTTTTGGTGTGTGGGTCCGGTCTTTTGTTTAAGAGGAGGTTAAATTTGGAAATCAGGTTTTCCTTACATTTGGTCGACATAGTAGCAGCTGAAGAGGCAGTCATATTGTCTACATGTTCCCAATCCGATGTGGACATTATTGCCGTCAATGATAAGTGTGATTTGTAGAGTGTCTTGTCTAACTGATCTAGTTCTGTGCGTATAAGTCTGATTTTTTCTGAGATAAGAGCTAAGCTAGTTTTGAAAAGAATTCGTTTCGCATTAGAAGAAGTTACAGTAGCAGAGGTGAGTGTAAATGCGATTGGTATTACCCCAGAGTCGCGGCATCTCTTCAGGAAGGTGAGAGACTCGATCAGCTGAGCTTTCTTATCCCGGAGTTTGTTGAAAGATCTTAAAGTTATGTGAAAACCCTCCCCGTAGAGGCGATTAAATTTTGATTTAAAGCTTTCGTGACTGCAGTAATTCATATTCTTAGTTTTTTCGGTAAAGTCACGTTGAAGAGAAACAACAAAATAACAAAATATATATAAAACAATAAAAAATTCTCACGACGTTTCGACCATAACTCAAACGGTCATCATCAGGTGTGTCGGTTTGCATAAATTTATTTTGAAAACGGCATATTTATTTATATATATAAAAATAACGTTTGCGTCACGCGCAACGATGGCAGTTTGCCAGGACTAGTCCATCTATTTTTTGAAAGGAGGAGGGGGGAGACGAAATTTGTTTTTATGTATGCTGTCTGAAAGGCACTGTAAGCGTGAACAATCAATCAAGAACTGAAATGATTTATCAAATCTTTCCAATGATTGCTAAGATAGAATCCATCTTCTCGGTTGAAATTGTCTCTGTGTTTGTATATGTGGATAGCCTCATGAACGAATCTCTCATGGAAGCCAGATGGCTTACAAAGAACCTCCGTCTTGGAAAAGTCAATGGCATGTGAGCCTACTGAATTAGAACAATGATCTGCTACGGCCGAGGTGTTGGTCCTACCGTGTTTAAGGTCTGCTTTATGTTCACGAATGCGGTCCGAGATATGGCGTTTGGTTTCTCCAATGTAACTACTACCACAGAGGCAACTTAGTTTGTAGACACCAGGGTATTGCTGCAGACGTAGCAAGATCTGAAATCGCTGCAACCCTCAAAAACGCTAAGATGCCAGCTAGCAACCTCAGCAAAGATGAGCGTTTTGAATTATATAAATTAAAAAAGAGGAATGATATTGTAGTTCTCTCAGCTGACAAAGGCAATGCTACTGTTATCATGGATAAAATAGAATACAACAACAAAATTAAAGAATTACTCGACGATGGTAGTTATACAAAAATAAAAAGAGATCCCACCAACAGCCTCGTCACACAAACCAACAAAATAATTTCTGATTCAACCGCATTAATTGATCAATCTAAACAGTTTTCGTTGAAACCTTCTGCTGCCAGGCCACCAAGATTATACGGCTTACCAAAAATACATAAAGTTGATACACCTCTTCGTCCCATAGTCTCTACTATCAGCTCCCCCACCTACAAACTAGCTCGTTTTTTGTCTGAAATCCTGCGTCCTTTCACTGGAAAGACCACCTCTGCGGTACAAAATTCTACTCACCTGGTATCAACAATCAAGGGTATTTCCCTGTCCCCAGACGACCTGCTTGTCAGTTTTGATGTAGTTTCCTTATTCACCAAGGTTCCTGTACCTGACACCATTGCAATCATTGAAGACTTGGTTCATCAAGGACTAAACACTGAGGTACCCCCCCTGGTGAGACACTGTTTAACCAATACATACTTCACTTGGAATGGAACTTTCTACAAACAAACTGAGGGCACCCCAATGGGCTCCCCCCTTTCTCCAGTTATAGCTAACATTTTCATGGAGAAATTTGAGACTGACGCCATCCAGACTGCCACTCTGCGCCCAACCTTATGGAAGAGGTACGTGGATGACACTTTTGTCATCTGGCCACATGGCCGGCCTGCTCTAGACAAATTCTTCGACCACATCAATTCCATACACCCAGCCATCAGATTTACCATGGAAGTCGAAATAGATGGCATGATACCTTTTTTGGATGTCCTAATTAAAAAGAGACCTGATGGTTCAATGAGCCACTCTGTCTACAGGAAAGCTACCCATACGGATGCTTATCTGAAACCGGATTCCCACCACCATCCATCACAGAAGAATTCTCTCATCAAGACTCTGTATCATAGAGCCCAATGCATATCCGACCAGGAACACATAAGCAGTGAACTCAAGCACGTACACCAAGCTCTTAGGGCTAATGGTTACTCCGATTATACAATCCGCAAAGCTATCACTCAAACCATGAAGAAGAACCCTCTTGAGGAGCCTTTCAAAACCATCACTTTACCCTACATTGCTGGGATCACAAAAAAGATCTCCAAAATCTTGAATAAACACAAGATCCAGGTCCGTTTCAACACATTACATAAAATCCGTGATCTGGTTCCGTCTGTAAAAGATGTGATTCCGGACATACAATACCCTGGTGTCTACAAACTAAGTTGCCTCTGTGGTAGTAGTTACATTGGAGAAACCAAACGCCATATCTCGGACCGCATTCGTGAACATAAAGCAGACCTTAAACACGGTAGGACCAACACCTCGGCCGTAGCAGATCATTGTTCTAATTCAGTAGGCTCACATGCCATTGACTTTTCCAAGACGGAGGTTCTTTGTAAGCCATCTGGCTTCCATGAGAGATTCGTTCATGAGGCTATCCACATATACAAACACAGAGACAATTTCAACCGAGAAGATGGATTCTATCTTAGCAATCATTGGAAAGATTTGATAAATCATTTCAGTTCTTGATTGATTGTTCACGCTTACAGTGCCTTTCAGACAGCATACATAAAAACAAATTTCGTCTCCCCCCTCCTCCTTTCAAAAAATAGATGGACTAGTCCTGGCAAACTGCCATCGTTGCGCGTGACGCAAACGTTATTTTTATATATATAAATAAATATGCCGTTTTCAAAATAAATTTATGCAAACCGACACACCTGATGATGACCGTTTGAGTTATGGTCGAAACGTCGTGAGAATTTTTTATTGTTTTATATATATTTTGTTATTTTGTTGTTTCTCTTCAACGTGACTTTACCGAAAAAACTAAGAATATGAATTACTGCAGTCACGAAAGCTTTAAATCAAAATTTATTCTATGGTTCTTTCGGTAAAGTCACGTAGATAGAAAAAATTAAACTCTTTTTTTCCCCTGATGACGATTGCTTGTGTTGCGATCGAAATGTCGTGATATTTTTATTATTTTTTTATTCACTTTATTTTTTATTTTATTGTTATTAATTTTTCTATCGACGTGACTTTACTGAAAGAACCATAGAATATGAATTCCTGCAGTCATGAAAGTTTGAAGTTAAAATTTAAATTTGACTAGTTTATAGACATTTTAGATAATTATTGTTCATGATTTGTTCTTCAACCTCACCGCATGTGGAACCTCACCGCTTGTATTGCGATTTGGGGCTGGTGACACGGCTCAGCGGCAGCGCGTTGGCCCCTGCTTGCAGAGGTTCACGGTTTGAATGTGGTGGCCGCCCTGCTTATTACTGTGGTGTAACAACCATAATAATTCTATGTTGCCGGCTGCTTCCCCTGACGAAATTGCCTATTTCAAGGCTGGGCCATTGTGGGCCGGCGTCAGGGGCCAAATTTGCCAAATTCGAGAATGACACCGCAAATTACTCGTAGCAATCATCGCCCCCTACTGGCATACTAACACCCCATGTCACTGTGGCAAATGAGACTATCCTGGTCTCTTGAGTTCTCACCTGTTGAAGCAAAATAAAATTGAAACGTCTAAAGTACTTTGAGATGGTGATTATCATAAGGAGCTATATACATTGAATGATAATGTTGTACATTTGGTATTCGCACAATTCTCACAATTCACAAACATCATGAAGGAAAAATACCTCACAGATTCATATGGTATTCCATTTGCAAGCAATGTGTAATCCCCATTGAGCAAATTGCGTGTAATTTTTTTTATTTGGCAAATATGGACGATGATGCCTTTCTCTGCAATATTACTGTTTTTGGCTTTTGTGTATTTTCCTGCTGTGCTCACGCACCACGGACCTCCCTTATAAACTAGCCTGGAAGCTGGTTAAACGGGATCATCTGTGTAACAAATCAAACAAACTCGAACACAGTGGTCTCCTCATTGTGAATGACGTCATGAGATATTTAACGTCCACTGTGAAGCACACGACATGTATTTGTACTGTTAATACACCGGCAGGAATAACTAGGGCGACCTGACGGATCAAACTGTTAATCTCACTTGGGGAATATACATGTAATAATTCAAAATAAACTTAAATGAGTGGAATGTGAAGATAGGCTAAGGTATGCTGGTGTGTGTTGTGTGTATGTTTGCGATCAGACACTGGATAGTCGGGAGTTCTTGCAGTATGTGCAACAGGCGTACGGAAGTGACTCAACGCTACACTCGGAAGGAGATGAACACGCGTGCGTGCAAACACACAAACCCACACATATACCCACAGCCATACACACATTCACATTCAATCAGCTTCAGGCAAGTCCTGTTGCTTGTGACCAAATCACACGGAAGCTCCTGATGTCACCAGTTCTGGAAGCTAAGCAGAATTGAGCCTGGATAATTCTCGGATTGGGTGACTGACATGCATAACAGGTGTTATAACTTACACGGCTACCTTGTCGGTAGTAGAGGACATTGCCGCAAAATCCATTATTGTACCATACTTTTATGCTCTCACATCTTTGTTGCGCTCTGTAGGGAGAGCCCCTTATCTAGGAGTGGATTGACAAAGGGCTGTACAGTTTGAATTTCAATTTGGCTTGTGGTCATGCTAAATGTCAGGCTCATGGCTAGCCCAGCTTTAATGACAGCAATTATAAGTACACTGATAGAGTTGGCTGGTCATCAAAATTATGTCTGTGCACTTCAAGTGACAGCCTTCTTCTAAATGCGCTGGCATCTGGAGTTAAATTCAAGGTGCAACCTCGTACTGGTTGTGTGGGAGATGATGATAATTGTGATGATGATTTTGATGGTAACCATGGGGAATTAATGTTCGTGTGTGTAGCGTTCAAATTTCACTCCAAATCCAACAATAAGTGCTCGCTTTCCAACACATGCCCCAAAAGTCTGTTGAAGGCTATACGGGGAATCTTTGTCTTTTTTGTGTAGTGTTGGCGATGAACCTGAGGAAGCCTCAAATTCAGCCCCTGAACTGAGTCCACGCACTCCTCGCACGGCCGAAACCACGCGCACCGCACTAGCGCCGGTCACCGTACGCTCACCCCGCAGCCCTGACAATGGGCAGCCCTTGCAAACCGCAGCATCTCCACGCACACCCCACACTCCCAACACTCCCCACACACCCCACACGCCCGACACACCACACACCCCTTACACGCCCGGCAGCTCACGCCCTGTCCGCGCCGCGGTCACCCCGAACACGCCGAGCTCTTCTGCGCACGCTCCACATGGGACGCGTACGCCCGACAGGGCTGCCACGCCAGACATCAGCATGGGATCTCCACGAGCGCCACCAACACACCTGGCGTCCACCTCTCCACATGGCAGCAGAGGAGATCTCTCGCAGGTAGAGAGAGCATGTGTGAGTGACCTGACGAGTGGACTGGTGGTATCGTGATGAGTGCACTGTACCGCTATGAATCTGAAATTTTTGCTTATGTTCCAATTTTGCTCTTGCCATTGTGTCGTGCTTTTTCATTTCTGACTAGGGGTTGAGAAATTCTAGTGAGGGTTCTATTGCACATTTCATGGCATTGTGTAAATGTAGGCAAGTATTTAAACTTTCAACGAATTCTAACTTTAATGCAATCTTAGCATTTTATGTAAATGATGAGAAACTCATCAGATCATAGTGATGAGTTACAGACTCAGACTTTATTATATCAGCTGGCAATGCCCCATTGAGCTAAGCAGCTCTGTTACACGGACAACCACCCCCAAGACCGTCGGCAGTGGCGGCAGTTACAGGACACTGCAGGGTGGACGTAATGTGCAAATAACAATAGCAACAACAACAATCATTTATATGAAACAATGTCTTTTACAGTAATTGGTTTATTATCGCCCGTAGGCAGTGCCAAATTGTCCCCACAGTGATCAGGGGGTGGCTGTCTACACAAAGCCCATGAGACACAGGATAGCAGTAGGCAGTGATGGCTTTATTGCACTGATGATTCCCAAAATAATGAGTGCAGCCATGGCTTGAGGTTCTGGTGCTTGTGATGGTGTGCAGGTGGATGGTCTGACCATGTCAATGTTGGGAAGAGAAATGACCCCTGAACCACAGAGGCGGGATTATCCCTCCCCTGAGCTGGGCCCTGGAACAAATCCCTCCACGGACGACAGCGATGCCTCTGAGGGTACCCCTGCAGGTGATTCAGCTACCTGGGGAACGTGGTGCTTGGCATGAGGTAGATGGCATAGTGTCTGGTGTGTGTGGTTGGCACGGTATCTGGTGTGTGTAGATGGAATAGTATCTGGTGTGTGTGGTTGGCATGGTGTCTGGTGTGTGTGTGGGTAGTATGGTCGCTATTTGGAGAATCTTGGAGTGCCTATGGGATGTGCATTGGATATGTGCAGGTGATGGTGCGGACAGAAAGCCCCATACGTTGCCACCGGGCCAGGTGTGCATCGACCGCGAGGTGTGTGTAGGAACGGAGAAACTCGAAAAGCTGCTGTTCTCCGACTCCTTGTTCATGCGGCGCTTCCTTCTGGCTCGTAAAATCACTGGTATCTGACGCAGCAATTCACTCAACACACACAGCATGCACTGAATTATATCTTTTTTTATAATCGGGTATATACACTGTGTTGTGCATGGCGGAGTGTATGGTGTTCCCTGTGACTATCCTGGTCTCTTGCATTCTCACATGCTTCAACAAAATAAACTTGAACTTTTGTGGTACCCCTTCTAGATGTGGTGTGTAAACCATGGGAGCAGACCAAGCCTGGCACTGAGCAGCGCTCTCTCACCTACACCATCAACCTCAATGGCGGACCCTTCACTCCCAAATCCTCGAGTGCCACCGAGGTGCAGGTGAGACCTTGCGCGATGGCGCACAGCACTCGTGGCAAAGCGTGGCAAGCAACGTACGCGACACGCATGGCACGGCATGTGCGCAGAGCACGGGTGGCCTGGTATGAAAAAATGGCACGATAGCGACAACAGATATCATTGCTAATGCCCCATTCCCCACTTCAATGCAAGACAAAATTGTTACAAAACAAATTGATATTAGCCTTAATATATACCTCTGGGATGGGAGTGGTGGTGCATTAGTTCGACTCAGGTCTATCCTGGCCACGACAAACATCCGTGATGTGTATGTATGTTGAACTTCTGTCGCACCGTACGTAATTAACCATGCTGATCTGGGGTGCGGAGGAAGGACAACAAACTAAACACAAAAAGCAGCTCTAAATAAATACGTTTTCAATCTAGCTTTAAAAGTGCATAGCTCCAGTGGCTTCCTAATATTGGAAGGAAGAGCGTTTTAGACGGTAGCAGAAGCGCATCTGAAAGTGCGCGATGCAGTGACTGTCTTTATTCGATGGTTAGCCAAAATATATTAACCAGTCCTGGTGTGTCCACCACTCCCCCCTTCACTAATCTACACTGATTTAAAGCTTTCGTGACTGCAGTAATTCCCTTCAACGTGACTTTACCAAAGGAACTAAGAATATAATCTACACTGACCAACATGGTTCAATATACTCAAATAATCCCCATGACCCACACGGCTTGAAGGCCCTCATCCTGCAGCAGATTGACAACATGTCTGTACATTTACAAGGACAGCGTAATGTAGAATCAAGCAAGACTGTGATGTATTCCACTGGGCTCTATGAGTCTGGTTCTGCTGCTCTGGTTTAATTTGGCTCTCATTGGACACACCTGGACCTGGATGGGCTCAGCCTTTTCCACTGGCATGTCCGAGCCATGTCAGCACAGGGCCCTCACTATACAGGTGGCTTTCCACTGGCTAGTTACCGATCCAAGCCAACGCCAAACCTCCAAGCAGCAGTGTATTGACAAAGGGCTGTATATTATTATTTAACATTACCTTCATATTTCTATTGGGAACTGTTCAACATCCAGGGCTCCCAAACAGCCCGAGAGGCCATGTGGGATAAAAAAGTGGAGTCCTGTGTCCCAGAACGTTATTAAAATGTGTTTTTTCATGTGGCAGATTATGAACAAGGAGTCATCCGATTGGTTAGTGGTGGTCTCAGAGGTGGCCACTCACGATGTCCCTTACAGCGAGTACTTCTTCAACCGCAACCACTTCCTCCTGCAGAGACTCAGCAGCCACACCACCCGTCTGCGGTAACCGTGGCTACCATTATTCACACTGTCCCTTTATCATCATCATAAGTGATCAATCTGCTGCTGGAAGAGGGGCCTTCCGTCTGCTGCTTCACAGTGGAAGTTAAGGATCCTGTGACGTCATTTACAAGAGCAGGCTATTGTGTGCTGGTGTAGTCGTGGTCCAAATTTGCCAAAATAAACATTTTACTACGGCAAATTACTCAATTGGAATACACAAAGCAATCATCGCTCCCAATGTGTAAACTTGGCAGGACCCTCAGAGAAAGTCACGAGACTGGTGAGGCGATCCTGGGTTAACAAGGGCTCGGCACTATATCCGTTCTGATAGTAGTGGCAGAGTAAACTGGGGGAACGTTACATTGGCTGGTTCCTATGACTTACCAGAATCAGACTCTTGATTTAGATTGGAGGAATCTGATGAACTATGGAGCTCTTTTGCACAGTTGTCCAGTCGGGGCGGGTCAGATGTGCATTTGAACTGGTCCTGCTCACCCATTTTTTCAACTGCACCTACCAGCTCGGTGAAATACGGTCTGACAACTCCCTTGACTGACATGGGAGGCCTTCATCCAGCAGTGGCTTGCCAAAAGGGCTGTACATATTACGTTTTAGAAAATGTCTCTGGTTTTGTGCGTAGATTATGGGAATGGAGTCCTATTTGTAACCCCGTGAGGGAGTTGCAATATTTTAATGGGAGACGGTGTCTGGTGTGGTGCGGTGCGTGCTATGAGTGCGTGCTATGGGTGCTATGTGTGGTACAGTGGGGATCTTCACCCTTAACACTTCACCCGTAACACTTGGGCCTGCCCCGTGACCTGCCAACGAGCCTTCTATACTTCACGTGCCCTCAAAGTGCAGCACATTTGCTGTGGTGACATCTCTAAATGTCATTGGCTATTGCTGTGGGTGTGTGCTGCTCAGCAGCACGGTCTTTGTGATGTGTTGTTGTTATTGTATGCTTTATTGAAACAAATATGTAAATGCCGAGATGAACAGAATGATAGTGCAGGCCGAAAAAAACACAAGTTCAAAAGAACACAGAAACGTGTACAAAATGCACTCCGTCTTTGTGCAGTGCATTGATGGTGATCGAAGATAAGACGACCACGGTGCACTTCAGCGCTGGTGTTTTTTTTTCCAAAATGCACAAAGGCGGGGTGCCTCTTACACAATTGTGAGTGTTGTTTGAAACATAACCTTTAGCTAACCAAGAGATTAAATGAACCCATTGAGACACGTGAAACAGCATTTCCTCTTTCACAAGGGTTACGTGGGCTACATTGTGAACGTGTGTGTATGTGTGTGTGCAGGATCTCATGGGAGGTGTGCTTCCGTAAGCAACCCTGGGGTCCTGTGAAGGCGCTCATCGACAAGAGCTCTTCCACCGGCCTCGCTGAGTACTTCGCTCTCCTTGGTACGTACTTCTGGGTGTGGCGCGGCGGCGTGCACCTCGGTGTATGTGTGTGTGAGTTGTGGTGTGATCGGTGCCGTGTGGGCAGGGTGTTTGCAAAGTGAGGCTCCATCTCCCACATAATGCTTCTCATGTTGACATTGCCTCAAAAGCCTGTGCAGAATATACAGGGTGGATCTTTGCCTTTGTGCATATATATATGTGAATGCACATGTTTTAATCGCCTTACCCCAACAGTCTGCTAAGGGTTACATGTGTGATCACTGGCACATTCGTGCCCAGCCAGTGTGATATCATGGTATGGGGTCGTTTTACACTTTATATTTACTAAACTAAGCTGGAGCCAAACTGTGCTATGCTGGGCTCAGAATATCTTAATCCAGCTTGGGGTCAGTTGGGCTAGGCAGGGATAATGACACGGTTAATTAAATGGCGTCCAACGAGATGGAGCCTTCGAGTGCTGGATAAGTGTGCATGTGTTTATCAATTTGTGTGCATGATATTGTTTGCATTACTGCGTCATCTGCGTGCATAGTACCATCAGCAGCATGGCATTAGTTCTGCGGTGGACAAATTACCTGGACACACTTCCGTTATCCCACTCTGTAGCGGTTAGCGTCTTGCGCTATGAACCCGGCGACCCGGGTTTGATTTCTGCTCAGGGCCAACACCAGTGACAATTATCTGAACTGGTCCTGGACCTGACCTAGGTCGACTCAGCCTAAAATGAGACAAAGGCGGCCGGCCGGGCATGGTGCTGGCCACCCAATCCCTCGTGTGCCGTGCCGGCCTTCATAGGTGCTCGCTTAGCAGCATTTTCCCCCAACAGTCTGCTAAGGTTATACGGGGGATCTTTGTCTTTCTAGATTCGGAGTTGTTGCGTGAGGAGGCCAGCAGGCACGCGCAGCCGCACCCAACTGAGCTGAGACAGCGCACACAGAACCGGCGTCGCGACGCCCGCGGAGCCGGGGATGGTGGCGCCACTTCCAACAACGTACACCATGCCGCACCACGTGCCAGCCATGGGGACCGCGGCAAGACCGCCGGTAACGATGCACTGGTCGTACGCACCGGGCACCACGTTCCCCTCCACAACGCCACAACGCTGACAAGCGGAAACTCAAAGAAATGCCAGAATGCCTTGTCGTAGACACCTGACCTGTCCATGGACAACATAGCGAGCCACCAGTGAACTCCGAAAACCAACAGACACATTGAAACCGTCGACTGCACATCAACTAAATCAATTTCATTTACTGATCCGGACTTAAACCTCTGAGTTGTTGTCAATCTGGCCTTATGCAATAAAAAAATCCTTACACTGTACTATTACCCACTGTCCACATAACATCTGCACCAAGACGTGGCGCATTTTTTTTGTCTATTGTCGCTAACAGACGGTATTTTGTGGTTGTGGCACGTTGTGGATCTTGTTGTGGTGTGGTGCGGTGCGATGCGCAATGTGTCTGTCCATAGGTGTTGGCGCCGACACTGGGATATCGCGTCTGCTTTTTGTTGTAGCAGTTGTGTAAGTAATCATCAGTATGAACCCAACACAGCTTGCAAGACCAGTGTTGTCACTCCAGTTTACACGCAACAATTTGCACCACGACCCCAGTAACATTATTTCAGTATATGCCGCATGGAAGAGCAGTGGTTCAGTGGTTAATGCACTGTTTTATGAACCCAGTGGCCTGAATTCAGGTTCAGACTACAGCTAACAAGAGTGGCGAGTAATATCTGAACTGGTCTTGGGTTTCTCTCTTACATCTCTGCACTGACTTACATGGTGAAGTACGATAAAACAACCCCCATGACCGACACAGTATCGGAAGACCTTCATCCAGTAGTGAAATGACAAAGGACCGTAAAAATTATATTATATTTTCACTATTAATTATGATACCACCTGTTCAAAAAAACTATCCACCCCAATTTAAGTGAGGTCTTGAGGAGGATCTAATGTGCTTCATGTGTGGTGTCTTTGTGTTGCGTACTGGTTCTGCATACATTGTGGTGCAGCCTGTAGAGTGTTGCCTCCCTGGTGGCTTGTCACGGTGTAGCAGACTGCATTTTGCATGGTGTGTACGGTGTGCAGGCTGCTGATGCTGGTGTGCCTTAATGCCGTGCTATTCTACAAGCTCCGAGCACTGGAGCACACCGCACACCGTCTGTCTGCTTGGCATGCCCTGGGCACACGGGAGAGGTATGTGCAGCACACACTCCCTGTGCTGAGCTTACGGCACTAGACCACATCGCAATAATGCTCCAATCCCTCCACTGGATCCAACGTCCAGTCCTGGATTAATTTCAAGATCGTACTAACCGTCTTTCAAGCTCTTCCGTGGACTCGCCCCTGCTTATCCCTCCCCTCTCAACTCACTCTTCATTCCCGCTACACACTCCCCTACCTCCCCTCTCATCCTCAGTTCCAGCAACCATGGCTTTCTATTTAAGACCCCAGGCAACCTTTGCCCAATGGAAAGTTGTTCATTCTCTTCTGCTGCCCCTGTTGTTTGGAACACCCCTCCCCCGATATGTGCTGTTGACTCCCTTCCCCTGTTCAACTTCAGTCTCAATACTCTCATTTTCTTTCTCTGCCTAAAAGTGACCACCCCTCCAAATAAATATGCAATTTCTGTACAGTGCTATATAAAAACAATTATAGTTTGTGCATCTGAATGCAACTCCTTGTGTGTGCAGGTTGATGTTCTTGTATCCAAGTGCTGTGTGTCCATGTGCTGTGTGATTTTACCCATGTGCTGTGTGTCCATGTGCTCTGTGTCTGTGCTGTCTCCAAATGTTTTTGTGATTGTGTGTGCTGTCAATGTATTGTGTCCATGTGTTGTGCGATTGTGTCCATGTGCTGTGTATGTTCCATGTGCTGTGATTGTGTCCATGTGCTATGTATCCATGTGCTGTGATTGTGTCCATGTGCTGTGTGATTGTGTCCATGTGCTGTGTATGTTCCATGTGCTGTGATTGTGTCCATGTGCTGTGTGTGTCCATGTGCTGTGATTGTGTCCATGTGCTGTGTGATTGTGTCCATGTGCTGTGTGATTGTGTCCATGTGCTGTGTGTGTCCATGTGCTGTGTCCATGTGCTGTGTGATTGTGTCCATGTGCTGTGATTGTGTCCATGTGCTGTGTGTGTCCATGTGCTGTGTGTGTCCATGTGCTGTGTGATTGTGTCCATGTGTTGTGTGATTGTGTCCATGTGCTGTGTGATTGTGTCCATGTGCTGTGTGTGTCCATGTGCTGTGTGATTGTGTCCATGTGCTGTGTGTCCATGTGTTGTGTGATTGTGTCCATGTGCTATGTATCCATGTGCTGTGATTGTGTCCATGTGCTGTGTGATTGTGTCCATGTGCTGTGTGATTGTGTCCATGTGCTGTGTGTGTCCATGTGCTGTGTGATTGTGTCCATGTGCTGTGTGATTGTGTCCATGTGCTGTGTGTGTCCATGTGCTGTGTGTCCATGTGCTGTGTGTGTCCATGTGCTGTGTGATTGTGTCCATGTGCTGTGTGATTGTGTCCATGTGCTGTGTGTGTCCATGTGCTGTGTGATTGTGTCCATGTGCTGTGTGTGTCCATGTGCTGTGTGTCCATGTGCTGTGTGTGTCCATGTGCTGTGTGATTGTGTCCATGTGCTGTGTGATTGTGTCCATGTGCAGTGTGATTGTGTCCATGTTCTGTGTGTGTCCATGTGCTGTGTGATTGTGTCCATGTGCTGTGTGTGTCCATGTGCTGTGTGATTGTGTCCATGTGTTGTGTGATTGTGTCCATGTGCTGTGTGATTGTGTCCATGTGCTGTGTGTGTCCATGTGCTGTGTGTCCATGTGCTGTGTGATTGTGTCCATGTGCAGTGTGATTGTGTCCATGTGCTGTGTGTCCATGTGCTGTGTGATTGTGTCCATGTGCTGTGTGTCCATGTGCTGTGTGATTGTGTCCATGTGCTGTGATTGTGTCCATGTGCTGTGTGATTGTGTCCATGTGCTGTGTGTGTCCATGTGCTGTGTGATTGTGTCCATGTGCTGTGTGTGTCCATGTGCTGTGTGATTGTGTCCATGTGCTCTGTGTCCATGTGCTGTGTGATTGTGTCCATGTGTTGTGTGATTGTGTCCATGTGCTGTGATTGTGAGTGCAGTGCTGCTGGCAGTGTGGACTGGGATTGGCTGGAGCTGCACCGAGGAAAGGTCCGCCGTGCCGAGGTTCAGAAATGGAATGAAATCCTGAGAACCAGCCTTGCCGTACTGGACAAGGTGACCAAACACACACACACGTGCCCTGAACACAGCCATAAAAGGTGGCTAGTGCACAAGTTGGATTTGTAACTGCGCTATTGTGAATGCCAGGTTTGTCTGTATGGTTACATATACACGGGCACACACCAGTGCGATGGAGTTATCCTCTGTGCATGGACACGAATGGCAAGGCCTTGTGATGGTGCTACAAGCTGTGGATACATTGATTGGTTCCTTGCCATGTAAGAGGCTCTAAACATGTTGGTCAATGACTTATCCTCATTCACAGTGGATGAGATCAGTTCCTGTGCAGGAGTTTGATGTATTGCCACATCATGGCACCGTGGTGGATGGTGACAGTTTGGGGAGGTATTCATCCAGAAGGGAATAGATCATGGTTCATGACGATGATGGCAGTGGCTGAGACAATGCAAAACCTCGATGGACCACATGTGAGGGAGATGAGTCACGGGACTTCTTCTGGTTTTCGGTGCTATAGCGTGGGTTACAGCAGTTAGATATTTATCCATCTTCCACATCCGAGCAGTGCTGAGCGAGTGCACCGCGGATCAGTAAGCCTTACGTGATGCACAATTCGTAACAGCAAGATGTAGATGATGCGATGTCGTGTCTTTCAGATATGATGAAATCAGATGGATTTTGTTGTTAGCCCTGCCCCTAACATGGCTTGGCCCCAGATTCAGAAATCTTGTGAGGCCACTGTAACACAGCTAAGGTTTAGGCTTTGCATAGCCAAATATCAGTGGAAATCTACCTGTGCTGTGCTGGCCTTGTACTGGCACAGGTCAAATGTTTTAAGTGGTGTTTATAATTATCGTGTGGCAGAGGTGGTTGGTTTTTGCTCATTGGCTGGCAAAGGAAAATGGAATACACTACCTCAGGATATTTCACTATGAAGGCCAGGTGACCATTATGGTTAAAGCACTGCCTTGGTATCAAGTCATGAGTTCAAATCTTGGAAGGTGGTCTACACTATAATCAATTCCTTTCAAGTGTTGATAATGAAAGCAGCATATCAGTGTGCCTAGATACATATTTTAATCAATGTATATTATCTGCTATGACATACAGATGCATTACATGAACATCGACAAATGGAACAGCTCAAAAGTGCACAAAGCATGGAGAGATGCACGCTTGGAATTACAGAAAGAGGAACACATGGATTAGAGAACATACACATATCGGAGACATTGACAGTAAAGAAAAATGGACATGGCCAGGATAAATTATGGTTCAAAAAGACCATGGCTGGTGGGTGAGACTAACAATGGAGTAGCAGCAAGTGGAGGGAACATATCCAACAGCATGTTACCATGGAGATGGAGGAATGAAATAAGCTGGTGTGCAGGTGGTAGACGTAGCATAGCATGACTGAGGGATAGCAACGGCCTGGGGAGGCCTTCATTTGGCACTGAATATAGTATGGCTGGTAATGATGAGAATGATAGGCACCACTTTGTGGAAAGGCACAAAAGTAGTTGTCTAGTTCGGACCAACCTCCTTCATCAGGGATTTTTTAAATTTTTATTTTCACCAATGGCTTGAGGCTAACAACGGAGAGGAGTGCTGCCCGATCAATCGTTTGAACTGGGAGTTATGTTGACTCTGCACTGTCTGTTTCCACCATTGTTTCTACATAGCATGCATTCTCCTTGTCTGTTGTTTCAGATGAAGCTGTGGCTCGCTGGACTGCAGAAGGATTCTCTGATGAACAACAGCAGTGCATTGCACACACAAGCTCCATGAACATCCTCTGTACATCCATACTATGCACTTCATATCAGGGGGACCACACAAGAATGTGCACCATCGTGCACTGTTTACACCACGTTTTCCTCATTTCCCTTGGTTGATTGTCGTATTTATGTTGGTGCCGTGCAGTTGAGATATAGTTATGTAGTGTTGTGTGGGTTTTTGTGGGCTTGCATGTGGAAGTGGGAGGGGTTAAGTTTTTTGTGTGTATCAGCACTTTACCAGCAGCATGTGACACCTCTTGTGCTGTTATACTGCGTTACTGATCTTATTTAAAGTTACACTTTTGTGGCAACGATTGTGTTATCCATCGTCTTTTCTGATTGATTCATTTGAATATCAAATTATTTCCCCCATGTATCCATGTTTCTCTCTCAAAATGAGGTGCTGCTTTTACCTGACCAGTTTATCTTTGGTTCTTTCGGTAAAGTCACGTAGGTATCAAATAAATCACGATTCGGGCGCAACACAAGCGTCTGTCATCAGGTGGGAAAGCACCTGATGACGGACGCTTGTGTTGCACCCGAAACGTCGTGATTTATTTTATACCTACATGACTTTACCGAAAGAACCAAAGAGTATGGATTCCTGCAGTCACGAAAGCTTCAAATCAAGTTTATCTTTTAACCTTATCTGTCTTCAATAAGTTTTTTTTGGATTAGATCGCGTAATGCGAGACCTTTGATCTCGTCCTTCCTGTCTATTAAAAATAGCCTTTCCAACGGTAATCCCTATTGAAGTATGCTCACCTTTATAGGCATGCATTTAAACAATGTATTATTTGATGATTCGCTTCCACGCCGCACTAAGTTGGAAGCTATCAGAACGGTTAAAATTATTTTTATTTCTTTCAATTTTGATAGATTCTCTAGTCTTGGCCAGTAGTAGCTAGTTTTGCACAGAACATCAACATTATCAAAATCAATTGTCCTTGTTGGCAGGTGTGTTCTGCTACTGCTGACAGTTGTATTTGGGAGAATTTAATATTTATTCTTTTAGTCTCGTGCTGATCATTCGTCCTGTTTGCTCAACATAACATTTACCACACGTGCAGTTAATCCTGTACCCCCCCCACCCACTTGGTGCAAGAGCGCAGAAGCGTAGTCTACGCTTCTATATAAGGCACGAAACTGCTAAGACTTCTCCACAAATCTGGCTGTCGCCTGATGAGGCTAGTTGTAATTACTGGCAAAACGTCGTACTCGGATTGTAAATGTTGTGGCTTGGCTCTCCAACACACCGGTGTGCTGTACTAGTGACGAATTGGCATGTTCTGTTTACGTGACAACCCTTACTAGTTGACTGTTGGTGGTTGTAACGACATTTACACGATCTAACCCAAAAAAAACCTCTGGATATTGGTCGTGAAAGCCGACGTGTTAAACTTGTCTTTATAAGATAACTTTATGATAATACAGTTGTTTCACCCCGACTGGTCAATCTGGGCTTAAGGAGTGATGCAAATTTAAGAACAGTATGATGTATTTGCCATCCTGATGACACAGCTGCTTATTTTAACATGGTTTTCACCCTCCCAAGCACTGTCCATGTTCAACCAGGCTTAGCTTCCGAGATCCGACGAGAGGCATATATAAGGTGATTTGGTCAGAGGCACACTTAAGACTGTGCGATTATAACGTACTTTTAAAAGCAACCAGTCAGAGCCAACATATCAAACATTTGCATACATGTATTTTTATCTGAATGCATTACCTTCATTGGCCAGGAGAGTAGCTTTACACTTATAATACAGCAGCTCTATATTACAGCATTGTACTCAAATCCTAGAACAATGCATGATGCAAAATGCATGACATACAGTGGACATGCTGTGGAACAAATGAAGCGTCGGTAGAGGCAGATTTCACCAATATTAAGGACGGTATGGCCACATTTCTGCAATTGGTTTCCGCCAATGGATAAACCAGGTTGAGGTATAATTGTGCAGTCCATTCACTGCCGAGGCAACCTAATCGTACAGGTGATAAATGACTGTTAATTGTACTGTGAGTATAATGTATGCACTGTTCATACTATAATAGGTTTATTGTTCAAACGTTTAAGGTAATCGTACATTCCAGCAATCCTTAAAATTTTGAAAAGTTGACTACAATTGACACGATGTACAGACCATATGTTTTTGACATCAATCCAAGAAAATATTCGTAAGGCAAGTTTTATAATTAGTTAACTCTCGATTATTCGTGGGCAAATTATCTGGGTTTTGGATTAACCCTGCTTGTGAAAATTGAATACCTACACATGCACTTGTTTGTTGGCTGCTCCGCACTCATCAAGGGGTTGGTGACTCAGTACCCACATGACCAGCAGCAACATTAAGAAGTAAAGCAGAAGATACATTCGACGTAGGTAAACATTGTTTTACTACCCTAATTTACATGTTTAGTATGATCTGTGTTTTAGTTTCTGGGCTGCCCAACTCCCTTTATCCCACACAATCAAGAGTTACTATTATTTCTTCTAGATATTAAGTTTTCATCATCCAATGTCATTAAATAAGTCCCTTGTTTAGAGGAGAGGCTCTTGAGAGCTGGTGTATGCGTGTGATTAAAGGCTCCAGAGCATTGCCACAGCCTTGCAGATTCCCACATCGTGGTAGTTGAAGTAGCAGAGGCCGGCAAACGTGACTGCAGAAATCGAGGCGAGGCCGACACGCGCCGCGCCCAGCGTCGCCTTCCCGTGCACGTAGTCCGTGATCACCTGGCCTAGGCCCCTGGGAACAAGAGTAGCGGTCACAGAGCAATTAGGCTACAATACCTGACAGGCTTTCACATATCTGTCAATCCATTATCAGTGCCTATCTTATTACAGACCAATTCAGACCTTATTGGTCACCCGTTGCCCTTATAAATCTCAACGTTCATCCTACAAAGTCCCATCACAAGGGAGAAACACAAAAAAAATTACTTTTTAAAAATTATATTTCCCTGTACAAGAATATTGGTAAACCGTATGGGTTGACAGGTATGCTTTGTGTAATCCTGAGTGAGAATTAAGGTAAACGGTGAATGTTTAATTTGTCACGAAGATCACAAAAAATAAGTGAAAGATCACAAAAAAAATTACTTGCTCACGGTAATACTTACATAGGCTCAGTGGCCTGGACTGTTCACTAAGAGTTTAAAAGTTTGATGAGAAACTCGATTTTAACCATATTTTTTTTAAAAACTGCCTTTAAAGGATAATGTATCAGACTGTTTTGGGAAATGCCCCTTTTTCATAGCAGAGATACTTTGGGTCACCACCCAAAATATTAACTACGATACATTTTTATTTTATGGTAGTGCTATTCACAAATTATGTTGTTGTTTATGTATGCCTTTGTACCACTGTCTACACAGCATCACCAAATGTATTTAAACAATGATTGCATTCCTCATGTTGTAGAGAGTGGTTGGAGTTGAGGGGGGACCACTGTGTCTACATTGGCATAATGTACAACACGTGCAGGGAGAGTACAATAAGTGTGCACCCACTACTGGGTGAAGGGTAAGTGCAGGGAGTTTGCATTCCCACCAGTGCGAGTGCAGGGTGAGCGTGGCAGCGATGGCGTAGTCCGTGACACCACCAGGGAAAGCCACAGCAGCTGGGATGAGGGTGAAGGCTGCGATGCTCACCACCCGCTCTGCTGACCAGTGAGCAGACGCTGACCCTAAAACGTTAACATCACCAGCGGCACAATCCTCATGTCATGATACGATACTGTGTTCATGGGCATTTCTAACAATGGGTTACAATGACCTGTACACTCACCCACCTCCGCTCAGGGGTGAGATAACCCACACTTGGGACATTTTACAATCCATGTTTAATAGTTTAAATTTCATTTCAACATCTCCCCGCAGATGGTCGCAGCATGGTTGGCCACGTACAGTGCAAAGGTTCAACATACATACAATGAGCTTGATAATTAACGTTTCATATTTCCCTATTTCAAGCTCTGACTTTTCCTCTTTTCACATTGTCCTTCTGGGACATGACTCCTTATGTATACGAGCCCAGGCCAATCCATGAACCATCCTATAACCCGTGGAACATTTCCTGTTATCTCATTTTTGTGTGGCTAAAGAGGCATTGCTGCAAAGTGGTCGTGGTAGGCGGTAAACTCTTGCTAGTATCTGCGTGCATCATGGATAAGGAAAATTCAGTTGATCATTGTGAGTCATCAAGATGCAAACATGCACAATAATGTGGAAATATAGGTGGATTTAGTAGTATGTTGCATCTCACTTGCAAAGAATTGCGATTGATTTAAAAGTTGGTACTAAATTATTCCTATTCATGATTTCAAGAAAATGGGGATGACCATGGAATTGCACTTCCAGCCACTGTGAAACATTGTTCCATAGAAATAGATATTAAAGATAACAAAGTTACCATCAATCTTAATAATAACAATACTGATGTTGAATCCATGCTGCCAGTGAGAAAGTGAATGAAATATTTCACAGACAAAATACGACCAACAATGCAAGCATGTTAAGTGATCGGTTGCCTATGGAGTGAAGCTGTGATGTGGTATGTATGGATCGATGTGGTTTGGTATGGAGTGTGACGTGGGTTGGTGTGCAGTATATATGATGCTGTGTGCACAGCGTGTGTGGCATACACAGAGCGTGGCTACGTGGCATGGTGTGCGTCTGCTGGTGCTGATACCTAGTGCTCCATGTGCACGTGGAGTGGTGTGCAGCGCAGCAGTCCCAGTCCCATTCGATCGGTCACTTCCTCCAATGTGTCGCAGCACGCATATCCCTGTACATTGTGGACATCACACAAACGACACCACATTACAAATATATAATGAACCCCTCAAGTCGAGTCCTCTGGATGAAATGAGCCACTCCCATTAGCACGGTTGGCTACGCACGGTGTGAAAGAAGTTCAACATATATAACGAATCCAATATGGATGTGATGCGCTCCAAAGTGTAAAGGTAAATTATTACATATATGATCCTTATTGCGGTACCCCGGGGTACCAAATAATACAAAATGGCCGAGGCAATTAAATATTTTATTCCTGGGACACTATTTTTCCCAGGGGTGTAACTTAACTCCGCGACTGGGGTACCAATCAGTCCGAAATCGGTGCTACTCCGTGATGTCGAAACGCAGCGAGGACGATTGCGCAGAAACCCTGAACGCTCGCACGCACCGTGGTGGTGCATCGTGTACAGCTCGTCGAGATGAGTCTCTTGCCGGATCGCCATCAACAGACTAAAAATGCATCACGGACATTATGCGAGAGTCGGGGTGCTATGGTACCCCGGGGTACC